AAGAATAAGAAAATAAAGAGTAAATAAAGAATAATAAAGATAATAATAAAGGTTAATTAAAGCTAAAGTACCTTTACCTAATAGGTAATTAATTAAGAAGGTATAAATAATAAGTAAAGAACTATAAAATCTTATAATACGTAATTATTAAATATAAAGATTTAAAGCTTAATTAACTATTAAAGAAAGAGAATTATAAAAAGATAAAAGAATACTATAAGAGTAAATAATAAAATAAGCTATACGCTTAAATAATAAAGAAAGAATAAGGTAAAAGCTTAACTATTAAAGAGATAAAATACCTAGTAAAAGAAAGTATTAATATTACTATTATTAATCTCTTTACTCTTTAAGCTTATAAATAACACGTTAAAATTTATAATACTATAAGTATAAGTAAGTACTTACTCTCTTTAAGTATACTTCTTAATAATTATAGCGTTATATATCTTATTAATAACGTTAACCTTTTTAAGCTTAGCTTCTATATGAAAATTAAGAGTAAATTCGTAAAGGTAAGTGTAAGTACCTTTTTAATTTAAGAAAAAGGGACTTATATACTTAAGAAGCTTTTAAATAATGTAAATAAATCTTAAACTAAGAACCTAATACTTAAAGATATTAGTATAATTAAAAACTTTCACGTTAATATTATCTTAGCTGATTACTTATAGGAAAAGAGCGCTTAAATTTATAGTTTTAATAATACATTACGCTTTAAACCTATAAAATAAAGTATAGTTTTAATATTATTAATTTAAAAGTATAACTTAACGTTTCTTAAATATAAGCTACTTTTTAATTACCCTCTTAAACCTAAAGCACTTACTATAATAATAAGCTTTTCTCTTAATATATCTATAATTATTAAAGTAAATAAAATAAGAATATAAAACTTAAGGCGTTAAAGGTTAAGTTATAACCAGAGCATTAACTGTAGTGTAGTTTTGTAGTTTTGTAGTTTTTGTAGTTTCGAATAGTTTTCTTGTCAATGCTCTGGTTATAACCCTTTAAGGCTAAGAGAAGACTTTAAAGAATTATAGTACCTTTATTTAAGCTATCTAGAATTAATAGCTTTATTTAAGCTATTAATATATACTAAAAACGTATATATTAAAGGAACTAAGTGTATTAATTATAAGAAGTATACGTAAGTTTACGTACGTTAAGTTATATTAAGATAACCTAAAGAGCATAAGTTACTAAGACTATTTTAACGAGTATATTAGAACCTTTAAGACTATAAGTTAAGTTATAATAGCATGAAATAGCTTCTAATATTTAAGGACGAATATTCTAAGATAATATAATATTATCTACTATTAAATAAAAAATAACTTACTATATTTAATATTATTATATATTTTAAGAGATAGGTTATAAGGTAATTTAAGCTATTAATATATAAATTTATATAGAATAATAAGAGATTTATAATTATAATAGTAGGTAATTTAATCTTTAAACGCTAGGTAAAAGTATAAGGTATTAAGCTTAAATACTTACTATTATATACCTATAAGCTAAACGAGAGCGTTAAAAGAGCTAGCTAATAAATTATAACTAGCTTAAATTTAATGCTTAATAGCGTAAGGCTCCCTAT